GGTATCTAAACCGCTTATATAATTAATCGTGAGAACATCATAAATCTACCAACCGCTTTGAGACTATCACAAATTTTTTTAGACGGCTAATGTCAGTTTCAGCTATATCTTCTGATGCGCCGAAGGTATGACTGCCGCGATGTTTCCAACGCAGTTTTACAAAATCTGGACAATGATTTTAAGCCGTACTGCATGAATGCCTATTGGACAATATCCAGTAAGAATTTCTGTGATTGAGTCAAGATCAACTTTGTTAAGGACAAGTGGTTAACTAGATCTCTTACGTTCTACTCTAGGCCAAAAGGATCTCGCAGTCACATAGAAGCTAATCGTTGATTTCAGTGCCGGGTAGAGAACTAGTACATTTGATAATAAAAAAATGCTTTTTATAGCATGCAAATCAGAGGATTACCTCACACGGACCTTGTACATTATTTGCCACACTGAAATTTGACAATACACAAACTTCTGCGGTTTTTACGGAAATTTTAAGGCTCTCTTCCTGCTTAACACTTTCGCGAGTCAATCCATTCATTCGAGTGGACCGCTCCTAACAGATTTCCACAGTTTCTCAACTCGCCAGCTCCAAGGGCGCTCGATTATATTCTGTTTCCAAGTATAGAATATCCAATTTCTATGTTTTATCGAACTGCATTAACTTTGTATGCGCAGATATTTCACTTAAACTCCATTTAAATTCTAAGTGCTTGAGCGCGATTATTTGCCGAATCATGTTATTGAAGTCAAATGTCTTTCTCAAAGCTTGAGCTTTAAAAGCCATTTGGAAATCATGTCACAAATCTGCTAATAAATTGTTTAATCTTATCGCACGCGTTGCGAATCGAGCGAGGAAATGGCAAAAAATGCCACTTCACACACAGAGTTGCATTTGCGCGGCATTTAATTAAGACATGAAATATGGTAGTGCCATTTGCACTCCAACACAACTGCAACTAAACATCTCTGCAGTTGTACATACATAAGTTGCATTCTGATGGGTTTAAACTCAAGCGAAGTCAACTAATCTACACCAAGTGCCTTTCCACTTCCATATTACACAATCGCTGATATGCTTGCGCTCACAAAGGAATGCGTCAATGGTGCAGCCGGCGAGAGACTCTGCGCGGACATATCCAAGCAGACATGTCGCATGCAACAAGACGCCGCTACATATGTATGTGTGTGTGTGTGGTACTCATAAGTGGGGGCCACTTAAATAATTTTCTCGCTTGTTTACACTGTCACAATGTTACAACAACAACAGCGACAATATATGATGTCAAGATGTTTATGGCTAGCGTTCTTGTTGTTGTTGTTATTGTATAATATATGCTGTTATTGGCATAATATTGTGCATTACACTTTCATTAGGCAAGCACACAGTTATACATTAGATGACTTGCAATTCCGCACACACACACACACAAACACACTCGCGCATGCTTAGAAGAATTGCGCGTGTATTTGTGTGTACAGCCATGTAAGTGATGCGAAGTACCGGTCGGCGCGCAAATACCACCTTGACTACTGATCACTCCAATCTGACGCTGCACCAGCGGTCGCCACCACCACTACCAGCAACAAACACCATCGCCGCACAGTGGACGCCTTAATTTTTGGGTGAACTTAAGCAGGAATTGACGCAGGATTTCCATTTTTCGTGCTTAAACAAGAAAAAATCGTTAACTTCACAGGTTTATTTCTTGTAGAATAAAATCTATATGCTATGGTGTACCGATCTGAACAATTTGTTCGATGATTGTATCGTTGCTTTAAACAATAATCCGTGCAAAAATTCTTAGAGACATTTTGTCTAAAAAAAAGTTTTTCATACAAAACTTTATTTTGATTGATCAGTTTGCATGGCAGTTATATGCTATCGCAATCCGATATCGGTGGTTCCGTCAAATGAGAAGCTTCTTAGAGAGAGAAGAACGTATGCATGATTTCGGAATGATATCTCAAAAAGTGAGGGAATAATTCGCGTATATACAGACAGACGGACATGGCTAAATCGACTCAAACTGATCATGAATATATATAAATATTTTTTTGCGGCCACTGTCTCTGTTTCTTTCCGAACTCTGCCAGCGGGCAGGAATTACAATTTGCTCGCGGTAAGGCATGCCTGTCGTAAGAGGCGACTAAAATCCATATGCCCCATGTCTGTTTTTCAGCTTTGCCAAAAAATATCAGCATACTTATATCAGAAATAGTACTCAGCATGCACTGCTATAATAAACTTCAATAGAAAAAAAAACCAACCAAAAGAATGAGATTCCTTCTAATGAAAAGACATTTGAAGTTCAAGCGACAAGTGTCACCAGTCAATTAGTTAGATGGATGCTCCACTGGCAGTACCCATATGGTTTTGCCGGAGCCATAGGACAGCAGAGGTTTTAAGGGGTTGCATGGGTTAAAAAAAAAAAAATAAACAGTTCTTTTATTGTCTTCTATAATGTATCTTATATTGTTCTAAATTCTCAAGTTGATACCAGTAATAGTTTTGGAGGTACAGCTATAAGTCACTTAAAACTTTAAACGCGTTTTTTTCGAACTACTCAACCGATCTTAGTGAAATTATACATAGGTCTTTGAGATATAATTTACAAAGGTTTGCAAGAAGCCTTCACCAAAATTTACGTTTCTTTTAACGTCTGCCATAAATATAATTTTCACTTTATTTATTCTTTTCTGCGTCCAATACCTAGTTAATAGTCTTAACTTAAACACGTATTTTTTTCTTTTACTTTTGATGATCCGTTCAGAAGTTCTGCTGTCAACGCCTATTCCCTTTTCCTCGAGAGAAATGACGTCGTAATAACCGAGTTTTGAATATTTTCCTTTAAAAATTTCACAAAATCTTTATCAAATATGTATCTTTGAAATAATAAAATGTCTGAGTAAAATAATTCCTTTTTTTTATGCAAAAAAAGTTATTGAAAATAGGCCATTTTTTGCTCGACGAAACCCATGTAACCCCTTAAGTCGGCCTCGAACCCGACCAAAGTGGTTACTGTGTCCATTCCAAATAAACGCTTGCAAAAAGCTTGCATTGTTTGGGGCAGTGATCCGTTGTGCAATTGGGGAAAATGTTGTAATTAATACTAAATTTTTGCTACCCCTAGCCCACCGTGCAGTAGCGCGTCGGGCGACGCCATTGACTTGACTTCCTGTACTAACTATCTTGGCGGAAAGCTGACATTTCACATGCGAAAATAAATTAGTTTTCCATGTTGCTTTGTCAGTTATCACAAGGCTATGCTTGTTTTATATCGGTGAATTCTAACATTTTCGACCGCTGCTCAGCCAGTGGTGGCAGTAGTGGGTCCATCGCTGCGACGGTGGTGTCTGCAACTTGTTGCTCAGCCCCATCGGTTTGTTGGTCTGTTTGTCGTTCGGCAAATATTATTTATAAATATGTATGTACATTTGATTGTGCGTTTTGGATTAGCTGCGCTCTGCCATTTTTGGCGTTCCAGTTTTGTTGACTTACCGCAAGTCAAAGCGCTATTCTTAGGCACCATAGACCACTTGCAATAGCTGCTGTGACATTGCACTCGGCTGTATACGTACATATATACATATATTTACATGTTGTTACACACATTTTTACCTGGATTTGCCGCACGCAGTTAAAATAAAGTGTCTTCTACGGCTGCTTAAGATGTTTTATGACCAAAAGATTGTGGTAACGCAATGGCATTGCTTGAAAGCATTAGAGATATTAGCCGGCAATGGCAATGGCAATAGTGGGTCTTAGCGCGGCAACACGCTGGCATGCCGGCACGCATGCGCTATTTATCACACACACATTCACAAGTGTGTGACAAGTGCGCCTAGACGCGCCAACCATGCGCTGTGCGTATTATAAAGTTATGCAATCAGCTACGCATGCGCGGTCGCGACGAGTCACGTGAATGAATCGTAATCAATTTCAAGCGAAAAGCAATTTGCTAAATCGGTAAGCGTTATATTATATGTGTGACAAATTGTACTACGGAAGGGATAGCAGAAGTCGCACAGACACATAAATATGTATATGTGTAAATAACTGGATCGGAACCATGTTTTTATGATTCAAAAATAATGAACTGGTACTTATTTTTATCGTTTCGACCAGATTTGCACAGTGCTAAGAGCTTTGGAAGCAACGGTTCATACCTCCGCCGACGCCATGCCAAATTAGTCGAATGCGGCTACGAACTGCTGCTGTTTCGACTGTATTTTCCAGATGTGGTCACGTGCGTTTTTTTTATTGTTTCCATAATGAATAAGTTACACATTGGACAAAAATTAAAGAAGAAAAATAATGTGACCTACTTTACAGAACTCCAGAATATATATTTTTTAGATAGTGCAAAGAAATTGGAGGCACGCTGGTTCAAATATATCGCGCCGAAAGAGGACTAAACCCTAAGTTTACCAAAATTCTCGTTTTCCTTTAGTAAGCTAAGTACTTAAAGACTCGCCCTCGTATATGACACATGCACAATTCACACACACTAAACAAGCATATTCCGCTCTTTTTGCAGTCATTGACCTTGTTGAAATTAAAATCGATGCATTTCTTATCGTGATTGCATCTATGGTTCGTGATGCGAGAAATCCATCATTGATATGACTGTTTGCAGTTTTGCAGTTGTTTTTGCACTGCGCTCTCATTATTTGCCTCTATGCATGCGTGCAGTGTTGGGTGGCCACAGTGCTGTCTTTGACAGCGGATTGTATTGTCTGAGCGCCGATTGTGTTAATCAGATTAACGAGACTTGGCTTGATGTGTTGCAGCATGTGTGCGCCGTCGCAAGCACAGGAAGCTGAGCGATAAGATCGAATTTGTGCATATTTCGTGAAATTGATTTTTTATAACAATATGAAGGCATTAAATATAATACTTATGTGATTTCGGCCTATTGATTGAAGCGTGGTCATTAGAAGTCAGACCAATAAAAATGACCTCGAAATATTCTATTTTGAAATTTTCGTAATTTATGGGTTTACGGTATATTTGCTTCAATAGTATGTAGGAAAGTGGTTGCGATACGAAAAATCGACTTGATCTAATTCTTTCTTAAAGCATGGCTCAGTGAAAAACTTCGACCGTTTCTTATGTATCTTTTTATAAATTTATTTTATAGTATATATTTGACTTATTACACCATAAAAATATTGAAAGTTTAATAAAATTTTACAGCTGCAGAAAAATGATACTTCAATTCGGACTAAGAAACAGGAAAAATCGTTAATTTCGGCTGCATCGTAGCTATAATATATTTCACAGTTCGATATCGGCAGATCTAACAAAATACATCTTCGAAAATTCAGATCGATATACATATAGTTGCTATTAACAATGCACCTGTGAAGAGTATTACAACTTTGTGGCAGTCAAAATTAACGTTTTTACACGTTTTTTGTTCGTTGATACAGAATAAGAAATCTAAATCTATAAGTCATAAAAATATGTTGCTACATATGTAAAGATGTACCTATACAATTGATATTATATTATATGTACCATATACTTGCTTAACTACTTATGTGTATACACTAAATTGTTCGATAACAAAATACGAGATAAGCTTCAATACCTTGATATCAATTTACAACTTGAACTGTAGGTTTATGGTTCGATGCTAATATTATGGCTAAGAATAACTAAATTTAACACAATTGTAATTAAGATGCGGCAATTCTACTAATAAACAACAACAATAAACAACCTAACACTAATACTAAATATTTGCGCCGCCGCCATTCTTGTGTACTTCCCATTTTTTACCCAACGCCAAATCGCGCGCTTGACTTCGCAAAATTTTGCCACTACCCGTTTTGGGCAGTTCGTCAAGAAAGAAGACGCCACAATGCAGTTGCTTGTGCATCACCTGCAGGCGCTTGGCCACATACTCGACAATATCTTGTTCCAGCAATTTACTACCCGGTACTTTGACTACTGCTGCTGCTGCGGCATCGCCATCCACCTCATTCCACAACCCGAAAACACATGCTTCTATCACATCTGGTAACTCTGCCACCACTTGTTCAATCTCGTGTGGGCAATACTGCATGCCGTGAAACTTGAGCATATCCATCTTTCTATCCAACACATACAAGTAGTTATCATTGTCGAAGTAACCCAGATCGCCGGTGTGAAACCAACCCTGATAGTCTTGCATGCGTTTCGTCTCATTCGGATTGCCATAATAACCGTTCCAGACCTTATTGTTATGCACCAATATTTCGCCGGTTTCATTATGACCTAAGCTACGTCCAGCGTCGTCAAGTATTTTCACTCTCACACCGGGTACGAGTTTGCCCACGGAACTGGGTTTGGTGATGCCCAAATTGGCTGAAACACCACCGCATTCGGTGAGCGCATAACCATAAGATATGTAACCGTTGGTTAGGTATTCCTGCATCTTTAACAAGGTCGGCACATAACAATTACCACCACCAATGCTGAGGAAGCGCACGCTGACTAATCGCTCTTTGGATAGCAACGGTGACTTAACGAGTGTGGCAATGTGTCGTGGTGCCAAAGTGAGAATAGTAACCTTGTATTTATCGATGAGTTCCAACAGATATTCTGGTGTATAAGGTTTATCGACAATAATGCGTGTGGCGCCATGACCACAACTGAAGAGCATATTGAATAAACCCGTAGACCAGTCGATGGTGCTGAACGACAGCAACACGTCCTTGCTGGAGACAAAACTGCGTGCGAGTAATAGAGGTTTTTTGAGTAATTTAAACGGACGAACATCGTGTAAACTTACCCGTAATCGAAGAGACAGCAAGAGTTAGAAATGCACACATTCTTAGGTAGTCCAGTGGTACCCGAGGAGCAGAGTATGGCTACCGTTTGATCGCCACCAATGGTAAGATTTTCCGGCCTACAAAGTAGAGCATATTTAAATACTTCGTAAAGATGGATTTGTTGACTACAAAACGAGATTGAGATTTTTCGATTTGATTTAGAAAAACTGTAGTGATTATGCTCTAAATTTCAGCGCTGAACATATTTGTCATTAAAAAACGAAGAATAATATCGGCCTAGTTCAGAAAATACAGATATATTTCCATATCCTTTACTTTTACATGTTGAGCATGTACTATATGTTTACTGGGAAACGGTTTTGGAACTACTTTGTTCATGGTTTGACTAAAACTCATGCGTTAGAAGCGCTTTATGGTCTCGAGCCATGCTTTAAACCCTAATAGATTCTTGCAATGACATCGGACCAACTATTACTCACACATAAAACATTTCCCCCTTAGTGGGATCCAGCAGATCCTCGATTCTCGGTAAATCGCTACGATGCTCCTTCAATGTATAAACCTTCGCCTTCAATATTTTGCTGACCGCGCTCACGCGATCGTATATGCTGCCATCACAAAAGATCAAACGCGGACGAGTAGTGTAGAATAGATGTTTTATAGTAGCTAAAGATAATAAATGTCAACAAATTAATTTGAAAGACGGGCATAAAATATAAACATAAATAAGGGCGATCATCTTCGCCGGCACCTACACTCGTCTTGGTGCGAACTTAATGCATGGAAGGGTGTGCAATTCAGCAAACAACCCAAAACCAAGGGCAGCAGATATGTGGTATTGCCGCCGGCAATGCCGATAACATCGTCTTGCTTCAGACCCATTGCCTTGAAGTGTTGCGCCAGACGTATACCAAAACTAATCGCCTCGCCATTGGTGAGTGCGGTGCCCTCGGTATCGGATAGCTGTTAGTTAAAGCCGAGAAAAGCATACAATTATTTATATCGAAATATATATTATACTATGTGTTTGTGTGAGTGCATTAATATTTGGATTTTTGATTTTCTACTGTACGCTCACCTGACATATATTTCCGGCATTGTTGCGCATAAATGCTAAGAGCACCTTGCCAATTGAACAATCCGGATCGAAGAATTTCGTCGACTTTGGACCGCTCCAAACTTTCATATACTTATCGTACTCTGTGTTGATGTGATCCATAATCCGTTTGTCTGATTTTTACTAAAATATAAATAACGCCAGCGGCAATACGAATGCGCTGCGCCTAAATTTTACCGTCAAGTGGTAAACGGCTTACTCAACTGAATGGTCGAAATCGCATAGTTTTCACTTTGGTTTGGTGATAATACTCGAAATTGATAAGGAATGTGCCGTTGATTACCTGTATTCGTATTAATGCATTGCCGGTTTGTTTGTATGCGTAGCGCTGTGACCCTGGAGAAAATTTTAAAACTTATGTATACAAAACTAAAATTTTGCTAAAATTCTTTCTAACTCTTCAAAAGTTTTTTTTTTTTTTTTAAATAGTGTATACTTCCAATTTCATCATATTAAACTGTTTGTGAATCAGCCCTTGATGTTCAAGATCTTACTTCATTAAAAGATTAAATTGCTTTCATTATTTGGTTCCAGCACGTACTTTCTTGCATGCCTTTGAGACATTCGCGGTTAATATAAAAACTGTTTCATTCTACGCAAATTTTCTGCAGGGTCTTGTTTGGCAATTGTCATTAAACAGAGTTACAAAGCTTTTCAAGCAACAAACGCTCTTTTTGATAAGATTACTAATAGCAAAAAGTAAAAGAAATAAGGCGAGTGAAGAGCAATGACAGCAGAAAATCCGTTCTGTCAAAGAAACATATATTGAAATAAAACGTATTCTGCCAACTAATTTAAAAAAATTGTTAATTAGGACTATATAGATATATATTTATATGTATATATATATGTATGTATATATGGTGAAATGCGTAACGCCGTCAAGAGCGATAGCTTCACAATTTATTTTTTTTTATTTTGAATTCTTTCATTGGCATCGTTAAATTAAGCCAAAAAGTATGCACCAATTTCGTTATGTAAAGAAATTTCGTGTACGTACAGCAACAGGCTGACTCAAAAAGTATTAAAACCTACATCAAATTACAGAGTGTGTCAATGAAAAAACCTTGAAGGTTGTCAACTTGGCTACAACATTTTTTTTTTAATTTTATCAAAGTTATTTGGGAGTCGATTATGAATGCGAGTCGTTGGTTTACAACAAGAGTGTCATAACTCAATATATTAAGTTTCCGACCTCATCCAATATTTAAAATAAAATTATATGTAAATTTATCACAAAACAAAAAGAATTTAATATTAATACATAAATGTTATTTTATGAGCACACCTACTGTGACAGCCGAAAATATGCGATTTTTGGTAATATATGAAAAATGTATTTATATACATATGTATATATAAATATATTTATACGCATTTTTAGTACAACAAATTCAAAAAATTTTCGTGCTAAACGTGATCTCCGACGGTTCTCCACTGCTGCGGTGAAGTGGACGAAACTTAAAAAAATCTCTACCAGAATATATTATCCGTACAATGACTTATAGTCAATAAAAAATCAAAATTGACAAAATGGCCGCTCAAAAAAAAAATAATTGAGTTTTACCCAAAATTTCGTATGTTTTTGACCTGCTAAAATTCCAATTTTCATCAGATCAAATCTATGGTAGTTCATTGTATGAACAACTATATACAAAATATGCAAAAAAAAACTTATAGTAATCTTTACTTTGACTTTGTCTCCGCATTATTGTAGAAAGCGCAATTAAAAACAAGAAAACCCGTTAACTGCCGTTGCGACGAAGCTACAATATAATACCCTTTACAAATACAAAGGAGCCTTACAAGAACTTGATTCCGATGATTCAGTTTGTATGGCAGCTATATGCTATAGTGGCCCAAATTTAATATACCCTGTTCATGGTATAATAAACTACTGTCAGCGTCAAAAGAAAGTGTACACCTTTTTCTCATACATTTCACTCTTTATTTCAGTATAAAAATATTAAAATTTTTTCAAATCAATTATCATTTATGAATGATTAAATATTGTTCTTACAAAAACTTAACAGCAATCCAAAATAAAATCCACAAGTACAAAATAACACAAACAAAACCAAATATATTCAGTATTTCACGCGTCAAAACAAAGTGTACAGTTTAGGAAAAATTAAAAAATTTCAAAGTTAATACTTTGTTTGTCTTCCCTTTGCATGGATAACTGCTTCCAACCTCCTTGGCATTGATTCCACTAAGTTGGACACTACTTCTGGGGAAATTTTGGACCACTCCTCTTGTAAAATGTCCTTCAGAGAATTTTTACTGGTTATGCTCCTTTTTCTTATTTTCCGGTCCAAATGTTCCCACAGATGCTCAATGGGGTTTAGGTCCGGTGATTGTGGGGGATGATCCAGCTGTTTAGGTGTACGGTAAAGCAACCATTCCTTTACTATTCTTGCCGTATGCTTAGGATCGTTATCCTGTTGGAAGATCCAGGATTGACCTAAGCCCAATTTTTCAATACTGGGGAGCAAATTTTCTTTTAAAATGTTTAGATAATCTATTTTGTTCATTGTGCTATCAATAAACACCAGCCTTCCCACTCCACTTGCCGCCATGCACTCCCAAACCATCACCGAACCCCCACCATGCTTTACAGTGGATGTAATATTTTTCTGTTCAAACTCTTGGTTTTTGTTTCTCCAAACTTTAGTACTTCTCTTCTGCCCGAAAACTTCGAACTTGCTTTCGTCAGAAAAAATGACGTTATTCCAGAACGATTTGTCCTTATTTATATATTTTTCCGCAAATTGCAATCGTCGCTTTTGGTTCTGTGTAGAGATGTGTGGTTTTTTCCTCGGTACCCGGCCATGGAGACCATTGGCATGCAACGCTCGCCTGATCGTGCTGGCACTTACGTTCAGTCCGGATGTTCTGGACACTTCCTCAGACATTTTTACGGCACTGATAGTTGGATCTATCTTTGCAGCTCTCACAACTGATCGCATTTCTGCATCACTGAGCCGCTTTGGCCTACCCGAACGTGTCCGATCTTCTAATTCACCAAACTTTTTTTGCTTGTCAATAATTTTTTTCACTGTGTTATGGCTTCTTCCAATTATCGAAGCAATTTCGCGTAAAGATTTTCCTTCTTTCCTAAAATTGATCACCAATTTTCTTACATCCAATGAAGTTTGCTTACCCATTGTCAAATTGATGTGCTCGTGGCAAATTTCCAAACGCAAATAAAATTCTATCTACACAAGGATACTAAATAACATTAGAATGAAGCAATTACACAGAAAGAACTATGGATAACGGTATATTTTTTTGCGTAAAATAAATATGCGAGGCCTATTACCGTAACTGTACACTTTGTTTTGACGCGTGTAATACTGAGAATATTTGGTTTGGTTCGTATTGTTTTTGTATTTACTGATTTTATTTTGGATTGCTGTTAATTTTTTGTAAGAACAATATTTAATCATTCATAAATGATAATTTATTTGAAAATTTTTAAATATTTTTATACTGAGATAAAGACTGAAACATATGAGAAAAAGGTGTACACTTTCTTTTGACGCCTACAGTATATCAAAATCTAATTCCACACTAGGTGTGACCTTAATCACAAGAACAGACTAGAGTATAATTTAAAACGTAAATAGAAATATGGCAAAAAAATATTAATATATACTTGCATACATATCTATATATATGGATATCTACATATATATCTTAAATAACACGATAAAATTTTAATCCAATAATCGAGCTTTTCGTTCACCTATACCGAATTTACGCAATTAACAATCAAAATCGTTGTTCCGCTTTTTGTCTTTGTTTAGAATTATAAAATGGTAACTTTCAATAAAATATAAATTGCGTCGTATGAATAAGTATATTATAATAAATATTTATAGAGCAAATCGACTTTAATTACCAACTTAAGTTTAAATGTTAATTGTCCAAAAAAGATCTTTTGGTCAATGTTACTTGAACTATAATACATATATAATAAACAATAGTTTGTAAGTTTACATTACTTCAACATACTTCCAAAGTCTGAAGTACCCAATAAATATATTTTAGTATACTAAGTTGGCTTAATTTCAACAGAAAATATTTTGATATTTTTTATTAATTAAATATTTATTGTGCAGTTAAAAATGGAATAATTGAAATATTAAACTGTAATAACCAGAATGTCAAAGATTTACACTCAGTGGTTTATAATTTAGAAAACAATAGTGTAAGGTTTAAAACGAAACGCAGAACAGTTTGCAGTTACCTCCTTCAAATGCCTGCCATATACCACTGAATATCTACCTGCTAACCTCATTAACACATTAAATGACAGTTGTCTATTAACCAAGGATACAGATTAAGGTAGAACAAAAACCATGACCTTGAGCAGGTTCTAGAACGACATCCATTCGCGAATCGTACCAAATAATGCTAACCTTACCTGACCGTTCGCGCATATATAAAGAACGCAGATACAAGTCTTTAAACAAATTCAAGAATAACTTAGAGAAAGTTACAAGTATTCAGACGCTGTATTTCTAGAAAATTAATTTAGATTTTGGACTAAAACTTTTTGCTTTAAAAAGTGTAATGCAGTAAACAGGGAAATGGATTCAGAAACCTATATGAATCAGTTTCACAATCTTATGGATGAAATAAGTCCGAGCATGTCGCTGTTGGAACGATTTGAGCAGGAGAGGCGGCAAATTCTGCCTTGTGCTGACCCCACGCAACAAGAACCAATACAAAAGCCACAGCGAATACAAAAACCGATGCAAAAACAAACACAAGCAACAGCAGTGCTAAAAAAACAATTCGCTGAGCCGAACAGAAAGTATGCAAACGCTTATGTGAAAATAGTGGAGCAACCGGCGAGTAAAGCTGTGAGATTCCGTTATGAGTGTGAAGGGCGTTCAGCCGGTTCCATACCGGGTGGAAATTCGACAATGGAAATGCGAACCTATCCTACAATCGAAATTGTTGGCTACAAGGGCCGCTCGGTTTGTGTCGTCTCTTGTGTGTCCAAGGATCCACCATATAGAGCGCATCCTCATACTTTAGTAGGTAAGGAGGGTTGTAAAAGTGGTGTATACACATTTAGTATAAACGAAAATACTATGCGTGCCGAGCTCTGTAATCTAGGTATACAGTGTGTTAAGAAGAAAGACATAGCAGCATCACTGAAAGTGCGTCAAGAAATACGCGTTGATCCATTCAAAACTGGCTTTTCACACGTAACTCAACCGAGTAGTATAGATATCAATGCGGTACGTTTGTGCTTCCAAGATTTATCCAAGGCGAAAATGGACACTTCACGGTGCCACTGAAGCCGTCGTTACCGATCCTAT